CAGTGGGTGGGGAGGCAGGGAAGGGTAGAAAGGAATAACATGGGGAGAAATGCCAGATATAGTATGCACCTAATGTTAAGTAAATTAAATTTTTAAAAAAACAACTACTACTACATGTATAAAACAAGGAATGCTACTACTACTCCATGTATGAAACGAGGAATGTAAACCTGTCTCCTCCCATAGTGGAACCCATCAAGCTTGAGAGAATAAGATCTCTGCCCTCTGGCAAGTGTGAGTCACAGGTTAAAGCCCTAAGGTGAGATGCTGGGAGACAGTTCTGCAAGCATTCGGGCTTGTATCAAGTCGTAGGGTACAGACACAAATCTTAACTTCACTTGTCCTAAGATGCCTTTTTCTTTTGCCCCATCATTTCAACTATATCAGCTCCTTATTGTTTTTGCAGCCTTATTTCCCCTCTGCCATGTAAGCTAACATATTCACAAGTTCTAGGAATAAGGACCTGGAAGGCCATTACACTGTTGATTTGTTCTCTGCTCCTCTGGCTTCAGGAGCAGTCCTGATTATTATGAGATTTTCTCCTATTGATTTGATTCTGTATTCTCTATATATTCAACACATTTTCTTTTTGTATAAGACAGCCAAAGTCAACCTCTGTGACGTGCAGCCAAGAGCATCTTCTTCTTCCTAGTTTTAGAGGCAGAGGCTTGCTATGTTGCCTAGGCTGGTCTCTACCTTCTGGGCACAAGAGATCCTCCCACTTCAGCCATCCAAGTAGCTGGGATTATAGGCATCCGTCACCATTTTAACTGATACAATGGAAGTCTTTGGGGTACACTGGCTTATTTATTTCATAGGTTTGTAAAGAGCTTTAAATATCATAAATACACCAAGTTTAACCTAGACCTCTTTGCTGATCTTGAATCAGCTATTGGCTCCTTTTGGCTATCTACTATGCATCTCAAAATGCAGACACCACTGCCAAGCCTTCTACTTATTTAGACAAAATTCACATCTCCCAAAATCATCTCTCTATTTCAGGAAATGATATCTCCATCCTGCAAGTTGCTCAGGCCAAGAAAATTCACAGAGTTATCCATGATTATTCTTTCTCTAATTTCCCAAATCCAATCCAGCAGGAAATCCTACTGATTCTACTTTCAAAGCATATTGTTATCAGATGCTTTTCAACCCCTCTTTGCATACTTAGGTTAATCCAGTTGAAAGTTGCTCTTTTAAAAGATGACGAAAAAAGACTAGAGCAATATATGGAAAAAATAATCAAAAACATGAAAGATGATCAGCAAATAAAGTGGAAAGAATCAGGCTGATACAGAAGCAAGTGTGAAACTGAGAGTCAGGCAGACCAGAGTTTGAACTCTGGCTCTTGGTGTATCAGCTGTGTGCCCCGCGGTTAGTTGTTTAACATCTCTCATCTTTGGTTCTGATAACTATACACAGAGCTAATTATACCTGCCTCCAAAGGCAATTGTGAGGATTAGAGAAGATACATTTAAAGTAGGTACTCAATAAATAATAGCTCCTGTTAAGATTATTAATAGGCTATTCAACTAATTTTTCAAGTTAGAAACATTAGACTCACTGTTTCCCTTGAAAATGAAAAAAAAATCATTTAATTATAAGCCTAAAGTTCACATTTTAAAGGCAGATAATGAGATACTGTTTAAAAATGGAGTGGGGAGAGAAAATGAGCCTCCTTCACCACATGACAAAGATACATGTATTAGGGAACTGAACTCACACAAGGAGGTTAAAAACAGGTGCAGAGAGGCCGGGCACAGTGGCTCATGCCTGTAATACCAGCATTTTGGGAGGCTGAGGCAGGTAGATCATGAGGACAGGAGTTCGAGACCATCCTGGTCAGCATGGTGAAACCCCATCTCTACTAAAAACACAAAAAGTAGCTGGGCATGGTGGTGTGTACCTGTAATTCCAGCTACTCAGGAGGCTGAGGCAGGAGAACTGCTTGACCCCAGGAGGCTGAGATTGCAGTAAACCAAGGTCAAACCACTGCACTCCAGCATGGGCGACAGAGCCAGACTCCATCTCAGAAAAAAATAAATAGGTGCAGAAGCTTGACTTGCATTTCAGTATGTGTGAAGCACCTTGAGTCAAATGCTGTAATTTTTAAATGGCATCTCTGTGGGTATATAACAAATCTGACACCATCTGACTTGTGCTAGCAATCATGTGGGTGAGAGAAATGCAGGAATGCCCTCCCATCTTCAGTCAAAAGCTGTACTTTCCTAGACATGAAAAATGATATATCTGGGTTTTTTTTTCATATTTAGATTTTTTAATTTTAAAAAATTTAAACTTTTCATTGATGCATAATGGATGTACATAGTTTCAGGGTACATGTGATTATTTAATACATTCATATAATTTGTAAAGATCAAATCAGTGTACTTGGGATAGGAAAGCTATATCTCTTTGAATGATGTATAAACTTGTGGAGAAAAACACACCCATAATGATTTATGTAATCTTGCACAGCAGGTACTTAATAAATGTGGGGTGATGATGAGGTGGAAAATATGAAACTAAAGGGCCTTGCAAAAGTGTAAATATCCATAATCAGCCTCATCTCATCTCTTTAAAAAATGGTATACTGCATTATTTCCCTGAGATTAGAGATTTATCAACAGCTTCATGCTTGTAAGCAGACCATTTGTTTGATATTACACTAAGTTAAAGCCCTACTAGCGTCTCTAGTTTATTAGCTCACCAGGAATTAAACCAGCTTTAGCATGCATTTGCAAGTTTAAAAAATTTATGAAATTAAGAGTTATTTCATTCTATACCCTGTCACACTCATGAATAAGTGTTGTCTCATAAATATAGCTAGAACACAGGTTAACAGATGCATTAAAATAGACTTATTTGCTACTAAGTTAAAAGAGCTCTTCCACTATGAATTTTGCTGCAACTGACATTAATTAAAAGCTCCAATGTTTGAGAATAAACCCTAATTCCATCTGCTTCCTCATCCCTGGTACCAATTCTCCCCCATGAGAGAGCTGGATAGGACTCCTAGACTAGTTTGCTCTTTTCAAGATACAAGAATGCATCTTGCCTGACCTTGTTTTTTGAGACAGGGTCTTGTTCTGTCACCAAGGCTGGAGTACAGTGGCACCATCATAACTCACTGCAACCTCCAACTCCTGACCTCAAGCGATCTTCCCACCTCAGCCTCAGGGGTAGCAAATAGCTGGATATACAGGTGTGTGCCACCACACCCAGCTAATTTTTTTTTTAAGTTTTAGTAGAGATAAGATTTCACTATGTTGCCCAGCTGTTTTCAAACTCCAGGATCACTTTAAACTCAAGCAATCAGTCTCCGAAAGTGCCGGGATTACAGGAACAAGCCACCATGCCCAGCCCTTACCTGCCTTTTTAAGCCTTAACAGTCTACTAAGAATGAAAAATCAATCCTTCATCTTTGTTTCACCCAAACTCAAGAGGCATCTTTTATGACTGGAATCAATATAAAGGTGGATACCTAAGTAACTTGTAATCATATAAATAAAAAAATACAGCGAAACCCATTTTCTAAGGCAATTGATACTTTTACTAGAATTTTAAAATATGTGGCATGCATATGTATATACAAATTTTTGTTTCCAATAACCAAAATAGAAACATCTGTGAAATAAGTTTAAGTGGTGGCTCATGCCTGTAATCCCACCACTTTGGGAGGCTGAGGCTGGTGGATCATTTGAGGTCAGGAGTTCGAGACCGGCCTGGCCAACATCGTGAAACCCCCTCTCTACTAAAAACACAAAAATTAGCCAGGCACAGTGGCATGCTCCTGTAGGCCCAGCTACTTGGAAGGCTAAGGCAGGAGAATTGCTTGAACCTGGGAGGCAGAGGTTGCAGCAAGCTGAGATTATACCATTGCACTACAGCCTGGGTGACAGAGCCACTCTGTCTCAAAAAAAAAAGTTTAGATTCCAGCAGGATTCCAATCCAGAGGTAGAACACTGGAGACATGGGGCTTAGGGAAGGCATTCCACAGATGCAGGGGTAGGGGTGGGAGACCAGAATCACAAGGCTTAGGAAAGGGATTCCACAGATGCTCAGGCGAGGGAGAGAGCAAGTAGCTACCCACAGTGACTTTCATAATTACACTTAAAATTTATTTGGCAAACTATCTCACAAATATTCTTTTTGAAAAAAGCAAAACAAGAGTGTTTTCTCCTGATGAATTTTTATCTGAGTGCAACCACCTGACAGCATAAATATCTGACTTCTGGCCCAAGCTTACGGCATTTCATGATTCTTCTGGAAATGTTCATCCTTGAAACCTTTATGTTTGGAATATTGTCTTTAAATTAGGTTACAAAATGTCCAGTTATGAAATACATACCAAGTGTTCTTTTTAATCACTTAAAGCTCCAAGTGAAGGAAACCTGGCGTTAGATAAATATCTTGAATGTGAGATAGGCAAGAACACCTTGAAATAATGCTTAACTAATCACAAAGCAACTATTCGGCAATAGATGAGTGAACCACTAATTAGATGAAGAGAAATAAAACTGTCATGGTAGGATAAAAGGATAAAGAGAAATAAGCAGTAATTACTGTTTTATCGTCAAAGAAAGTAGTATCAAACACGGCTTAATAAAAGGAGGGGAAAAAAAACCCACAGCTCTATAAGTAAATACCAGCACTCATTAAATTAGTACTAGGAGGCAAACACAACTCAGGGATGACAATGACATCTTAAAAGTGCATTCATAAAAGAAAAAATGGACTGTGAAGTTAGGTAAGGGTGCTTTAGTTTTAGGGCACGCAACATACTGAAGAGTAACATTACAAAGCTATTTGCTTAAACTGCTTACGAATAGTCAAGCCAGTCCTAAAACAGATATTTATTAAAGATTAGGATAGGCCTCCTAGACTAGTTTGCTCTTTTCAAATCATCGGTAACCTTAATTGGTACACTTAATGTGTAAATGGTGCCAATAAGTGACATGAAAATTTTATCTGAAGCTTTAATGTTTGGAGCAACTTACATTCTGTTGCTTGGAATAATCTTGTGCCCTTCTCTAAACCAAGTCACTTGAGGTCTGGGGTAGCTGGTGATGGGTAGCAGGTTTAGAATTGCTGCATGTCCTTGAGAAACTGTTTTCCTCTGGTCCGTATCCATGAAATTTCCCATATCTGCAGAGAAAAAATAAGTGCTCTCACAAGTTCTAGAAAACATTTTTTGGGGAGGGAAGAGGTCACAGATAGAAATGGGTACGTGTTGTAGTAAAGTCATCTAACAACAGGACAAGTGAGACTGCAACGAAGCACTGATGAACACGGATCTGGTTTGTGAGTGTAGCACCAGACAAGGCATGAGCCTCCCAAGTGCCCATGCTGCACATGGCGTCGGCAAAGCCACATGAGTCTTTGCCCTATCTAACAACACAAGGGAATGTCTGCAACTGTCTGTGACATTGAAATGAAATGCTGAAGCCATCCTAGAGCCACATGAAACAGGTTTCTCAGAAACCATCATAAGATAGTTCCAGACATTTAGCTCCTAAATCTTTCAAACTAGTTTCAGCCAGCACCAGCCCTCGCTCTCTTCAGCTTGTTTCCTTCATTTTTGAGGTCACTGTCTCCCTCACAGATCTTTTGGGAGCACTATTTCCTAACCACTGACAAGTCTATACAGCATTCTCCCACTCCCATATAGTTGACTTAATTTGAGGAAACCAGCTTTTGTCCGGTATTTGTTCTACTGGTAAAAACATTTCAAAAATGGAGTCATAGGAAAAAACACAGCTATTAGAATGTAGGTGTAAATGGCTAATTTTAAAATTGTTAACATTTGAAATTTTTGAAAACAATTCGTATTATGGTCAGATACAAATATATATACAAATAGATATGGCAAAATAGTGTGTTTGTATTTATATTTAAATAAGTTTGAAATATTCCACAGAAAAGCTCTACTATCAATGTCTTCTTGATTCAAAAGAAATCTCCTATGTGACAGTATCTAATATTTGAGGGAAAAGATGAAACAAATCAACAAATCAGATTAGAAAAATATTCATACTTATTTTAAAAGAAAATGAAATTTGTTATCAAAGCAAAGGAGAAAAGAAAGATTAAAAAAAATCTAAAGGCAGAGCACAGTGGCTCATACCTGTAATCCCAGCACTTTGGGAGGCCATGTTGGTCAGGACTTTGAAACCAGCCTGGCCATGGTCAGGAGTTTGAGGTCAGGAGTCTGAGGTCAGGAGTTTGAGAACAGCCTGGCCAACATGATGAAACCCTGTTTCTACTAAAAATATAAAAATTAGCTGGGCGTGGTTGTAAGTGCCTATAATCCCAGCTACTCAGGAGGCTGAGGCAGGAGAATAGCTTGAACTCGGGAGGCAGAGGTTTTGGTGAGTTAAGATCGCACCATTGTACCCCAGCCTGGGCAACAGAGTGAGACTGTCTCAAACAAAACAAAACTAAAACAAAAGCTAGAGATATAGAGTAGAAACAAAAATATAATTAAGCAAAATTTAATTTTATAATATAGAATTTAATGTTATAATTTTGAAGCTCTTCTTCAAATATCATTTAGGTATTGATCTTCACACTACCAATTACATTTTCAATTATTCAATTGAATAAAAGTTCTCAATTATTCTGCAAAATTCTTGGCATCTCAATTTAGAAAAACTTAAGCCTTCCTAGTGATTTAAAAAAGCAGTCAAACATATATAGCATCACTACTTCACCCAATCACTAGGCTTATGGCAGAATAGTAGAATAACTAGATATTATTTTATTTCATCTAGTCACATGGAAAGCTACAAGCTGTAATTGGGGTTAAAATGACAAATGAGAAAATACTGTCATCGCCACATAGTACACAACCCAACTCAGGAGCTCTTTTGTTCTCTAAAGTTTATAATAATATAAAATGTAATTTAACACCATATAAGATTTTTTGCTTCCTTTTAAACAAAGAGAAATTTTGGTAGTACAATCAAGATATAATAAAACAAGCAAGGCTCACTCCGTAATCCCAGCACTTTGGGAGGCTGGAGCAGGAAGATCCCTTGAGGCCAGGCATTAGAGACCAACCTGGGCAACACAGTGAGATCCCTCCCCTACCAAAACCAAAATAAATTAGCCAGATTAGCCAGGCAAGGTGGCACACAGCTATGATTCCCACTACTCAGGAGTCTGAGGAGGGAGGATCACTTGAGCCCAGTTCAAGCTTGCAGTGAGCTATGTTTGTGCCACTGCACTACAGCCTGGGAAACAGAGAAAGACCCTGTCTCAAATATATATTTATTTATATACATATTACATATATCACCTATATTTTTGATATATAATAATTATATTCTGTATTTTATATACATAAATATGTAAAGTAGGCAGTCCATTTTTATTCTTCATAGATTTTGAATTAGAAAAAGGACTAAATACTTTGCATAGGCCAAGTTCACTCTCCTGTTTCTCCTCAAGACTACAGAAAAATGTAAGCTTCCTGTATTCTTTCTCCTTCATTTACGTTTAAAAGTTTCATTCTCCAAAATGAATCTGCTGAATAAAGAATTAATAAATCCCCATAACATGAATACCATCTGGGATGCTTACTATCCATGTATTTTTTTGTGCTGCAGCAAAAAGATTTCTAAACGAATCATCGTTGGAAAGAACTGACAATGAATGGATGAACTTTGCCTAAATGGACTTAACTTTTTACTTTAAAAATATTTAGAATCCAAACATAGCACAAGCTAAGAGCAGCTGATTCATAAAACAGAAGGCATCCTATTCACTTTTTCATCCCCCTCAGGGCCTTGTAGGGTCCTGAATCTTTTCAAATGAAGAAAAGTGGCCTTTGCCTCATCAGCCCCTCACCTGGCCAGCCACACTGGCTGCTTACTTATCTCTCACTGAGTTTAGCAATTACTCTACTAGAAATAGAACCAAAGATAAAAATCTCAGTTCCTAAAATGGCAAAAAGTGATTCTGATTCACTCCCCAGTGACACTTTGTTCTTTAACATTTGGACATCTCCCTACTGTACACATACATGCGACATGAACTTCTGATTTTCTTTGCAGGAGTGCTCCCATTCTGTTTCGCACCACACAGCGGTAAAACCCAGCATCGAGCTTCTGCAGAGATGGAATAATATACCTGTTGAATACAAAAAGAAGTATTAGTGCTTATATCCAGTGTTAACAGTCATAGCTAACCATCAGATGCTATTTTATCAAACATTACCGGCATCTCATCTAGTATATGCTCAACAAATACTTTATTTTTGGTAACCTAATATCTGTGCAATCCTTCCCTAACCAAGGCACTAACTAGAATTACCATCTATTTCTGAGATTATCACACTGATACCTGTCTCCCCAAGAAGGCTGTAAATATCACCCAAAGCTAGGATCTGCTCTATCTTATTCATCATTGTAACTGTGGTGTCTTACATGGTGCCATGCACACAGGAGACTTTTAGTTATTTAACCTTTCTCATTCCACCAGTTGCCATTACAACTGGTGGAATGAGAAAGGTTAAATAACTAAAAGTCATTACATTTAAACTAGCCCTCTCAATAAAAAGTCATTTATAATTCTCTCTCGATAGAAATTTCCAAAGATTATTCCTAAAACTGGCAATAGTCTTAACACGATATCTGGCATCTCTCTACATGAAAGGGGAAACAACACTTTTGGGATGAGATACAGAGTTCAGGATGCTTCTCTCCAGTCGTTAATGTGAACACATCTCAGCACAGCATATTCGCTTCCTTTTCTTACTTCTCCATGTATGCCCTAACGTTAACTTTAAAAACTATTTTTCAGATGATAAAGTTATTTCATGTATTTTCCACTTCTGTGACTAGAAGAAATCATCCTTCAATTCCATGCCTGCCTGTATTTTTTAGTATATTTTCAAAGGAAAAAAATAAATAAAAGATATAGCTTATATAAAAGCCTTGCTTTAGGTTTACTGCTTAGTTTTTTTACTTAGGATGTTTTAAAATCCATGAGCAAGTGAAGATATGTAACCAACAACCACTTGAAATGAGTTTTACAACTCCTGAGGCTACATCTAAGCTGCCCAAGATGGTACAGTAATTGAGCTTGGCCAGGTTCACAAAAAAATTCAGAGTAAGGTGTGAGCGAACTACATAGCTAAGAAAGAGTTAATATCCAAAATACATGAGGGGCCAGGTGTGGTGACTCATGCCTATAATCCCAGCACTTTGGGAGGCCAAGGCAGGCAGATCAGTTGAGGCCAGGCACTCAAGACCAGCCTAGTCAACATGGTGAAACCCAGTCTGTACTAAAAATACAAAAATTAGCCGGTGTGGTAGTGTATGCCTGTAATCCCAGGTACTTGGGGGCACTGAGACAGGAAATCACTTGAACCTGGGAGGCAGAGGTTGCAGTGAGCTGAGATCACACCACTGCACTCCAGCCAGGGGACAGAGCAAGATCCTGTTTCAAAACACACACACACGCACACACACACATGCACACATACACTACATGAGGAAAAAATAGCTAAAAAGAATTACTTTTAATATGGGCAAAGACACTAGATAGACATTTCTCCAAAGCCATACACATGGTCAAGAGATGTATGAAAATGTGTTCAATGTCCCTAGTCATCAGGGAAATGCAAACCCAAATGAGATATCATCTTACCCCTGTTAGGATGGCTACTAACAAAAACATGAAAAATAAATGTTGCTGACAATGTGGAGAAAAAGGAACATGGGAATGTAAATTGGTGTATCCACTACAGAAAATAGTATAGAGGTTTCTTTAAAAATTACACATACGATGACCATATGACCAGCAAATCCCACATCTGGGTATATTTTCAAAGGAACTGAAATAAGGATCTCAGATGTCTGCACTCCATGCACACTGCAGCATTATCCACAACAGCCAAGACATAGAAACAACTCAGGTGTCTGCTGAGAAATGGAGAAAGAAAATGTGGTGTATACACACAAAGGAATATTATTCAGCCTTAAAAAGAAAGAAATCCTGGCATTTGCTACATCGCATAAGATCCTCAGGTTCATCTAAGTGAAGCAAACCAGACACAGAAGGACAATTCCTACCTGATACCACTTATGAGAAGAATCTAAAATAGTCAAGTTCATAGAAGTGGAGAGTAAAATGGTGGCTACTAGCAGGTACAGGGGAGGGAAAATGGGAAGGAGTCCAAGAGCAGAAAGTTTCAGCTATAGGAGATGAGTAAGTCCTACAGAGCTACTGCACAGCATAGTGTCTACAGGAAGAATACTGTATTATATATTTTAAAGTATGCTAAGAGAGTAAGTCTTATGTGTTTTTATCCCACAAAAACAATAATAAAGACGGCAGGAGGAAACTTTTGGAGGTGATGGAGAGATTTATGCCATATATGGTGGTGAATGTTTCATGGGTTGTGTAATTATCTCACAACTCCTCAAGTTGTACACACTAGATGTATACAGCTCTTTCTATGTTTATCATATTAAAAAACAAAAACAAATGTATACAGGTTGCAGTTGAATAAGTTACATCATATTTGAACAAAAAACAAAAGAATAAGACTTGAGGCTTGGATACTTTTCACATATGGGAAGTTGTCTATCATAAGACGGAAAAGAAACCAGCCTGGGCAACATGACAGAACCCTTTCTCAACAAAAAGTACAAAAATTAGCCAGGTGTGGTGGCGTGAGCCTGTAATCCCAGCTACTTGGAAGGCTGAGGTGGGAAGATAGCCTGAGCCTGAGAGGTTGAGGTTACAGTGAGCCAAAATGGTGCCACTGCACTCCAGCCTGCCTGAAAGAGCCAGAGCCTATCTCAAAAAAAAAAGAAAAAAAAAAGAAAAAGGAAACAAAGAAAAGCTCAAATAGACTAATTTCCAAAAGGGAGAATAAAACAGAGTGATGCATTCTTTACCCCCCAAAAAAGATACTCCAGTAATACTTGTCTATAATTTAAAAGTATTTCCTTTTACAAGCTATAATCAGAGAAACCTTTCCAAAATCAAGTAAAAGACAAAGTGTACACCATGCTGTATTTGCTCAGTTCCCAAGCACACCCTGAATCACTTATATTCAACTCACCGCTCATGTTTTTATTCAAGTATGTACAATTAGACAACCTGAAAAAGGAACTGATAGGCATAATTTTAAGTGATTAAAACATTTGGACAACACAAGCAATTCAAGATTAAGCAAATATTAATCAAAGTTTGTTTTCTACTCTGATAATCGTCTTGAGCACCTAGGGAAGGATTAATAAAATCTTTTATAAAGAAAAAATATTGCTGAATTTTCATCTTAAAATTTTTATTCTTGTATGTGGAATGGTTCATCTAAAACAAAATTAATTAGTGAATACGATTACAAAAACGTCAAATTGAACACAATGAGCTGATGCCATTTATTTAAATTACAAATCCAGACCAGGACTATGTGCAGTTTTGATTACTATATGTTGTGATTACAGTAGAGGGGAGTTTTGATAAGCTTAAAACAAAGTCAACAAAAGTTTTTAGAAAGAAATAACACAAGTTATTGCAGTATATATTTGAAACACTACAAAGACAGTTTTATCACTGCCACATAACCATATTTATATGACTGTTCATTCTACTTTTTCCTGTTCTTCAGTAGCTAAATAGGTCTTAAATTCTTATGAATTTCTATAGTATTTCTATGTACTAATGCACAAAAATAGAACTGCTTTCAAATACCAAGGAGAAACAGAGACAAAATTGAATATTAAGCATATGCTGTTTTGTACCATCTCTTTAGTCTAATGTCTCACAAGGGAGAAAATATGAAAAAAAGTTGCAAAGTCCTCCACCTATTATGGGAATTCCTACACAAATTATGTTCACCTAACAGATGGGAATATTCATTGTAAGTCTATTGTTTATAAACACACATTTTTAAGCAGGCAAAGTTTCCTGGCTCTTTATAAGAAAGTATGATAAAATCTTAGCACCATATGCCACCAAAATATAGAAAATGCCTGTTCCTATTTCAACTCCACACAGCAGGGAATGTTTGCATTCACTGTATCAAGGCAGAATTCTACTCAACTAACAGAATGTTTTCCAGGGCCAGTTCATCATCAGGAATGGCAAAGAAAATAAAATACAAAATCCAAACAAAAACCAAGGGCTTAAATGTCCATTTCTATGAACAGGAGAATGCCTCAGCTGTGACCTGCAACTCTGAGTGGACCACGGGAACACCCCTAGAACCCCTAGAATTTCTTTAGGAAGTAGCATCAGATCCATCTCATGGTCCATCCCACGAACAATTGCTTACACTATACATCTGACATTTTCAGTCTGCCTAGGATCTGAACCACTTCCCTATATTTGGAGAATTCTCTACCCTATGAGCTTTTGTGGAGAGAGAGCTTAACTCAAATTAAAGGCTGAAAAGACCACATCTGGATATTCCCAGACTACAGCCTCTAAAGGTACCAGGTCTGAGACATAGTATGGCCAATTAGACACATGTGCTCTAGATTTTTATCTACATACCCAGGAAGAGGCTAAAGGAGAACTCAACTGACAGCAACAGTAGTGGGAGCACAGTGTAGCCCTAGTCTAGAGGAGCAGTGGAGTGTCCAGTGCCAACTGGGGCAGTGGCTCAAGCAGTGATACCCAGTGTGTGGTGGGGCCAGCAGCAAAACCCTCATGGGACTAGTTCTTGAGTAACTGTGGCTCACTCTGTTCCTGCCGAATCTCCAGGCTACCTAGTGATTTATTCTAAGGGCACCCCAATATCCATGCAACAACTCACACAAGAGAAAGTTGGTTTCTGCGGCTTTAGACCCCTTTAAAATTTCACGCTCATAATTTTGGCTGAAATATATTCTAAAATTACTAGGTGTTCACCATGGTCACAGCGAAACCTAAGTAATACCTCGTAGAATCATTTCTTTGAGAAAAAGAAAAACATGGCTTCCTGCTAAACTACCAAAAATTATTAGAAGATAAGGAATCCCCCCAAATTGGGACACATGTACCTGTTATAAGAAGTCCTCTTGAATATGGGCCATTAAAATTTTAGAAAACCTCTTACAAAATTCTACTTCAGAATAGTTACTGTTCAGCAGTCCTTTCCAAGCACTGCCAGATGCTATGGCTGAGTCTACCTG